CCCCAGCTCAGACTGCCCTGTGGTCATCCCTCTCCTGCCATGGACACTGGCAGCAGGAGTAGATGGACGGTGGGGAGTACACCGCCTTGGACAATCAATTTAGTCTACCTCCCAAGCAGGGAAAACCTCAAGTCCTAGCATCATCAAGTCAAGAGAGCCTCATCTTCAAGAGCTACCCCATCTCTCCTCTGGAATTACCATTGCAACACATGAACTACCATTTATGCACTTATCACACAAATGCCCCTTTCGCTCTTGGTGAATGGTACATATTAGGCTGCTCAGAAGAACACCAATCCATTACTCAAGGGTCACAGGATCCTGCCAGCATTGTTGCAAAGCCTAGGGCCTCCTAGTGGGCCAGTAAATTTCTCCTAAGCGTGTCCAACCCCATTCATCAGGAGACAAAGATGACAGAAAGAGGCATCCTAAGCAAAAAAGCAGAGTAACAGAAAGATCATGCAAAGGTTGTTCAGATGTATAAAATCTCTTTCTCAGAGATTTTTCCTGATCTGTGAAAAGCTCACAGGTCTCTAACGTTGCCTCCTACTGCCCATGGCTATGTGTGCTCCCTGGGCCCATCTGGAACCTGTCACTCCCCCTTCCCCAGCTGCACGAGATTCGACTCCAGCTCCTCTCCTGTGTCATCAGGCCCTGCTGGCCCTGCTCTGACAGCATCTGCGGACACTTCTGACTGATGATCATGAAAACACAGCTTCACACACCACGTTTCAGGAACTACTGCAGCATTTCTGGACAGTCCCAGCAGTCAGCAGAACGCGGCAAGTGAGTTTATACCATAACTTCCTCCAGGATCTCTAGCTTCTAAGTCACTGAGGCTGAAAGCTGTGTGTGTTTAGTTTTAGTAAGCAAAACAAGAGCAACATCACAGAAGTTCATGCCTTGCCATAGTTCTCTCTCAAAAGCTCACTAGAAGGTTCCTGTAACACTGTATGTTTCATTCCCACAGGAGCCCGAGAAATCTATTCAGTCCTACATCAGTCACTTCACCCACACACAAAGTGTGCATTGGGTCAGACCCTGGGGACAAGGTCTGAATAGATGCACTAATAAAGCTGGGTGAAAGAGACATGTGCAGAGTCTATAATGCCTGATGCTAGGTAAATGGCCTGCGAACAGAAGGAAAGTTTTTCATTCAATGTCCTTACAAGTATTTTCTTCCAATTCCTTTCCCTTAAGTCCGTGAAATTCAAATACAGACTTGTGTCACTTCATGGCAGATTTATAGATTCAGAAATGCACAAGTAGTCAATTTCATGATGCACAAGCATTAGAGAATCTTGTACAAATCAAGACAGCTCCATGCCAGTAAGCATTTTCATCTCAGTGGGACCAGTGCAACATCATGGGCCAAACTTTGTCACAGAGCACATGACTGTATTTAGTAAATATTTGTACTAATGTCCAAATTGTCTAATTTCCTTATTTGGCCCCTATCAGTTCTTCTGATCTTATTTTCCATATCTTCTTCCCAGGTCTTAGATCCAAGCTACAGCTGAACAAATATATAAAGCTGTCCTCCACAGATTCCCAGCATCATACTCTAAGCACATGGCCTGCCCAGCTTCTTAAAGTCATTTGTGGAGCATCTGTCAGGGGCCAGGGGCTGCTCTGGTCACTGGATATACATGACCTCAGTCTTCTCAAAGAAAGTTGGTATCATGGCAAGAAACGCAGAAAGTAAACAGAGGCTGGTGATTTCAGATAACTCGCTGTGAGGAACACAGACAGCAGGTTGCCACTGTTTTCCTGTTTTAGCACCTCCAGTTGCATGACTCCCCTGTCCTCCCTTCCTGTCTGGTTCTCAACTTCACTTCTGTCCCTGTTACTCCACTTAAGTTGTTTCCCCTAAAGTCATCAGATCACCTCCTGATTTTCAGATTTAATGGTTTTGAGCCAGTCCAAGGGAAAAGATATATCAATTGGTTTATATGACCTTGATATTTGCAAAGAACTTTGAATTGAAAGTTCTTTGGATTTTTTTTATTTTTGTCTATCTCCTATCATCTGTGTATCTATCTTGGAAGCAGAGTTTTCACTGCACTTCCCATGGTCCTGCTGCCTCAGCTTCTCTAGTGACTGGAGTCTCAGGCACCCACCACTGCATCTGGTCCCTTAAATAATGAGTACTCATCCTGGGCACTCCAGGAAATTCCCAGAATTTCACATTTTCTGGTTTCCTCTTCATCTTTCTCACTGGGTAGCTCTGTTGTCCTAGGTCCTTTTATTTCTCTGTTTCCTGGCTTGACTCCTATGCCATTTAATTCACACTTTAATGTGATTTAGTCCTTTTAATATAATGTACCTAAACGTGCCACTTCAAGGGTGTATTTGGGACATTTCAATCCATAATATTTGTATTACTGTCTTCAAGAGTACTAATCCTGTAGAGAACAAAGCAGTTAATAAAAATGAATTTAACATAAGCTTTACTTTTAACACTTTGCAATCCAGTAGGGGAAATAAGGCATGTAATCTAAGTAAAGATAGTAATGCTGCAATGAGATAATATAAAATCAAATAATATAAAGCTATCAGAAGTGTATTGAGGGAGTGTTTCTTTTCACTGAGGCAACCAAAGCCAGCTTCATGAAGAAGTGAAAATAGCTCGGCAAGAACTTCAGAGATGAGCAGCTGAAAACCTCTTCTTTCCACACACCTTCTAGAACCCCACTTAGTGCCGAGTCAGCCCACAGTGCTGGGGACAGAAAGGAACAAGAGACCGTCATCAGTCTCAAGCTGTTTTCAATCTGTTTAGAAACAAAAACCATGAAGCTGAGTGAAACAGCAAAGTGAACTGGAATTGCAGTGGAGATGTTTTAAAGCTCCAAAGGAATAAAGATAAAAAGATGGAAGAGGAGTGTGCCTGCTCTTTAAAAAGGACATTCTGTTTTGAGGGCCGAGCCGAGCTGGCGTGGAGTCAGCAGCTGGAAGAGAAATGAGTCTGGCTCCAGGGAGGAAGGGCGCTCCTCACAGATGCTGAGGGTTCTGGATGGGAATGCACCACGCGTGCACCGCAGAGGTCGCTCAGGAGAGCTGAAGCCAGGCACCCAGGATGTGGCAAGGACGTCCAGGCTGGATGTGGAAAGGACGAGGCCAGAGGAGCTGAAGACCCTGTTAAGCAGCCTCCTGCTGTCTAACACACAGTGTAGACAAGTCAGCCCACACTCATCTTTTACCGGGGAGACCACAAAGTCACTTAATTGGCTGTGCTTCTGACTAAAAATTGCTATTGTTAGCATCCAGTGGCTCAGTCATGCTGTGTTGTTGACTTTTTACATTAAATCCCCACTACCACCACATTAAACTTCCCAGGGCAGCTTCTCTGATGCGCTGCTTGTTTCTCCAGGGTACAGGCTCACAGGGAACAGCTACATCTTATTTTATTTCATGATGACAAACCATTCATCTCTCAGATGGGTTATTATGGGAAATAGAAACAGGAACAATGACAGTTCTCAAACACTTCAGCATTCCTCTCTTACTGGTAATCATAATTTTCAGGCATTACTAGTGAATGACATTGAGCTTTGCCTTTTTCTTATTACAAACTGAGATAACATGAACTATAACCTCCCCCTAAATGTGCATTTTGGAAGATGTGTTCCAAAACATATAGTCAGGCTCTAGTCAATTTCTCAGTATTTGACCACACAAAAATAAAATAAATGGCCAGCCTAAGGAAAAAAATAGATCAATTGGGTAAAAGAGTAATGAAAAATTTCAACATTATTTTGTTACAAATATTTTTCATTATATTTGGTAACATACAAATGTCATTTTTCTCAAAGCTATTACATACAACTACTCTCCTCTGACAATGGAAATCTCCACGTGTCTGACTGGGTTATGTCATGATCTTTCCTGAGGCAAGGTGGAAATGTTTCAGCCTATTACAGTTTCTCAAGAAAGTCTTTAATTGTATTATTGTATCTTACTTAATGCCAAGCTAAGATTAATTTCAGACCTAGATGGAGGGTAACAGAGTGAGAGTCTTTTATCACCAAAGGCAACATATGATGCTGCATATTTCTGAAGATACTAAAAATATAGCATCAGGAAGTCAGTGAAAGCTTTAGAAATAAGTGTAGGGCAAACACCAAAAATAAAATGCCTATTTCATAAATCCTACTAACACAGTGAAACCAATTAACCAATAAACACATCCTTAATATTTCTTTGGGATGTTCATTAAAGTTTGGACTGGAGACCCTAAACAGACCTAACAGAACCAGTGCTGGCTCTGTGGCCCAGAAGAACCGCACATCCACTGCGTCCTCTCTAGCCCAATCTGCACTCACTCGAGCCACACCCTGCCAAACCTAAACAGGCATGTACAGCTCACATCCTAACAGAAAGCCAGTGGCAAAACTGTCCTACTTTTTTGTCACAATCCTTTCCTATCAACCCCTTTCTCTCTTGCTACCATGAGATGCCAAGGATCTTTTTCTACTGTGCCTTTGTCTCTTCACCTTTTATTCTTGCTGCTAAACTTTGGGGTGGAATGTTCTCAATTCACAGACATCAGTTCCATTCTGGTAACTTCTGGGACCACCATAATACTTTTGCCTACCATGCAATGTGTCTATCTCTCATAGCCTTTGCTGTTTTCTCTCTAGATTGTGCTTGTGTCTGAAAAAGTACTTCTTGATGCACCCAGCTGACCAGCTCTTCCTCCTTCACTAAGGATTCTTCCAACATCAAAATTCTCTAAGAAATATTTGAAAGGAAGGAGTCCTCAACCTCTGTCTAACCATGTTGCGTTTTCTCTTCAGCCTGTTCACAGTATAATCATGTCATCTTTTCTCTTATCAATTTATCATCAGTATTTATAGTTAGGAATTTTAACACATTTCCCTTTGAGGGTTTTCTGTATCTTGAATGGTAAGGTCTTAAATGGTAAGGTGCTTTGAAATGGTAAGGACAAAAGGATGTGAGGACTTCATTGTACTTTCATGGGACAGCAAGACAAAACCTACCTGTCCATGTCTTTGTTGGGAGGCCATCTCCTGAGGAGCTTCAGTACGTGACATGGTCTTGGGTTCGGGCCCCCATACTTTGGGACGCACCACATCAGGGACCAGACTGGAGGAGATAGCTAGGGACTTGGGCCGGGCCAGTGTGTTGCCTGTGCGCCCTGGTGTCTCCTGATCAGCTTTTCTGCTAGTAACTTCTTCTTCCCCTTCAGAGTCCACAATAAACACATATTCAGCCTTGAAGAGATCACCTTGCTGCATTCCTTGAAGATCGTTTGCTTTAAATATTCCTCCTTGTGAATTCTTTTCACAGACCTGTGATAGACCAGTCAGCGTCCCTTGGACTGTCTCTTGATTGTTCCCACTGTTAAAGGTCACGTCAGTGGATTTAGACTGTGGAAGAAAAGAGATAAAATCATTGACACTGGCTTGATGGATGCTTTTTTCTTAGCATACGCTGAAAATTTCAACATGTTTATAAAATATTTTTAAATGATTTCAAAAATCAGGCTGGCCTACAAGAGAGTGGATTGAAGTTGATGATTTTGTTTCCCTAACCCACTTGTTTGTACTCACCCAAGCACAAGCTACTCAGAGCTCAGAGTCATAATGAGAGAGAAAGAAAGAGAATGTGGATAGAGAAAAGACAGAGAGGGACAGAAAGACAGAGAGACAGAAACAGAAACAGACACAGACAGACAGACAGAGAAAGACACCAAAGGAAAGAGAGACAGACAGAGAGAGAGAGGGAGCTTGACTTTCTGTGAAGTCAATCATGAAACAAATGGGGAAATGAGAATAGGAATTGGTCAAGATGTTGTAGATTGGCATAACTGACGCCATCTTGTGCCCTGTATTTGCCCTAGAAGAGTGAAAAATTGCTCAGGGTTCAAGTCCCATGAGAAAAACAGAATGAGCTGTATCCATAGGAGAAAAATTAACCTGCTCAACAAAGAAGCAGGATACAGGTGTTGACCAAAATTAACGTAAGATTCTAGCTAATTGTTTCCAACAGAATGTCTTTTTGTGGTTCTCTGTTTTAAAAGCTCTGCAGCCCTCTAGTTCAGGGCCACTCAATCTGACTCTGAAACAGGGATCTTTGCAGGTGATCACTGAGCTCAGCTAATAAAATTCCAAGATTTGTCAATTTGGCTGCTTAGATTCCTATATTGATTATGAACCCACTTCAGATGATTTAGTCAGTGGTCAAGGAACCTGTATATACTTTAAGAAACCAGGATAAGGGAAGGAAATTCCATTCAAAGATTCTGAAATAACATAAACTCTCTAAAAGTCTGAAAGGGAAAATAAGAACAAAATGCATAGATACTCAGACAAAACCATCTAAACTAATGAGAAAAAGTTTTGCATAGAACATAAACAGATGTGGAGAATTTTAGTACAGCATATCTTTAACTTTTATTTTACTTTTAATTTGTAATTCTCAATTTTTGCATCTAGTTTTCTGTGAATACATAGGCTTATAATACCAGAACTAAAACAGCTTTATCAAGCTACCGAATTTCTTCTTAAAAAAAAGAAAACAGCCACACCCACTGAGATTGTATCTAAAAATCTCATTATTGATTTCCTGTTTTGATAATGGTTTCCATGGTTACTATTTTTTTTTTCTGGAACTTTTCTATGAGACTAAATTTATTTCAAAATAAAAAGCTAAGCCACTAAATAACTATAGTCAGCTAAATTTATTTCAAAACAAAAATCTAAGCTACTAAATAACTATCGTCAGTCTAAGATATGCTGGCATGTGTGTCTTACGTTGTGTGTATGATGGTTGGGTGAAATCAGACCACAGATACAGCCGCCCCATCTGACTCTGTTCAGCCACTATTGCTGACACAGTCAGGATAAAACGTACACCAACTCTGCTTGGGTTTCCATTGTTCATTTGTCTCTGTTCTTTTACTTTGATTTTTTTTTCCACAGCATTTTCACTACCTCACATTTTGTTATATAGTTTACTTTTTTATTCTTGTTTCTGCCTTCCCCATAACAAGAAACCATTTGAGTAGTTTTTAGTCATTATAGTCCAAGTACCAAAAGCATATCATATATGCAAAGTTGTTTTGTGTGTATGTGTGAATCAGGGGCCACTTAACCTAGTTTAATTTGTTTTTGTTTTTTATTTTGGTTTTCTGAGACAGGGCCTCACTGTGTCATTCAGGCTGGCCTTAAACTCACTATGTAGGCCAGGCTAGCCTTGAACTCATGGTGATCTTCCTGCCTCAGCCTCCCAAGTGTTGGGATTACAGAATTGGGTCATCACACTGGCTCAAATATTGTTCAACTGTTTAAAAATAAGAAAAAAAGTTTTAATCTTTTGCAGATGTGATTGTTCATGTATCATTGTGGTGATCAAATGAGTATTAGCATCTTAGGAAGCTCAGGAGGTTTGCAACTAAGATTGGGTTATCCACCTACAGTCTCACGGTTTCAAAGGGCACAATAAAAAAAAGATGCCATGAATATGCTAATGTGTTTGAGTACTATTTGGAAGGAAATTCCCAGAGCTCTTCATTTAGTAATCAGGGTTTCTCTGAAGTAATGTGGTCTCATTTGTCCTTGAAATAAGATAGCAGCATTACAAACTACATGGTTATAGATACAGTAGTATATTAGTACTTCCTAGCTAGTAACTCAAGTTCTCCTGGTCCCATTTTATCATAAGGATAAATAAAAATATATGAAAAAATACTTTAAAGAAAAAATTTACACTAAATTTTATTGTTCTAACACCAATCATTGTTAGATATTTGTTTGACTTTTACCTCCAGTAATTGCCTAGTTTTATGCAGGCATAATCAGAGTAAATGTAATGAAAGCAGTCATTGAGCCTAATCGGTCATGTAGTACCATACGGTTGATACTTTCCACTGTATTTCATAGTCAGTGTAAGTGTACCCTTGTCATGTCATATACCAGCATATTCTTAATTGATATCAATCCTCAATTTCTAACATAAATCAAGCTCTTTATTTTTCATTAATTACTTTCATACCAAACATTGTTCTGCTTTTGTGCTATTTCCTTGAGATACGTCTCCAAAAACTAGATTACTGAGAGGTTTTGAACAGTTTTATGATTGTGGATAAGAGTTTTCCAACAAATTGACAAATTTGCAAAATTAGCTGCAATGTTTGGTCATGTCAATATTTCTACAGCTGCCCCAACACTGGGCATTACTTTTAAGTATTGCTAGTGCACTACATGTGAAGTTTTTTTATCTAAGAAAAGTTTTATTATCTAAAATATACAGTGGAGGAAAGTGCTAGAAAAGAGAAATTGCCCTGTGAGTAGTAAACAAGAAGATATCCATTCACAAAAGTTGAGACTAATTCATTAGAGACAACTGGAATTTGATAACATTTAGGTTCCTGTTATATAATTTTATAGATATGAGACTTTATTTTTAGTTATCATAGATTTCATAGTGATATCACTTTAAGAACGAGAAATGAACATTGATACAAATTTCTAAGCCATTATTATGGATAACAATATAATTTTAAATAAAAAAGAAATAAAAATAATCCTACCCTATTTACAGTTTCTGGACTCTTATCACCTGGCTCCTCAGGAATTCTAACAAGGTATTTGGAAGTGTTGGCCAACTGAATATGGGCTGGAAGTCTTCCAATGGTAGGGACAAAGCTGAACATCAGCGGTTTGGCTTCAGAATCACCAGAAGAGACCTATGAGACATGTCACAAATTAGACCTTCAGCCTCACTGAAGCTTTACCTTAACTATTCTCTATATAGCATAATATTTATCTCATTTATTTTGATAAATTCCTTATTGTCCTATGATAAAGTATACGGATGCCAAGAAAGCAGGTATAAAAATAGGCACAATGTATCAGACCTTTTTATACCTGCACTCACCAGACAAGCAAGCTACTCCCTGCTGCCAGTGAAGGGAATACACAGCAGATGGCTGGCTGAGCCACTGAGGGTTTACCAGAAGTCTGCAATGTGGTGCGGACATCTCAGACACACCATCTGGTCTGCTTCAAATGTGGCTTTTATCCATTTACCCCCCCCCCAAGTTAGTAGGTCCCATCAGTGACTCATAATCAATAAGCACACAAGAAAATGCCAACATTTATTGTTTTCAAGAAAGTTGGATGGGGCACTGTTTCATATACCTGTAATTCTAGAAGTCTGAGAGACTGAGGCAGGTGGATAGATCTCAAATTTAAGCTTTGCCTGGATAATTAAGCAACTTAAAGAGATCTCAAAAAAAATTTAAAAGGGCTAAAGATATCGCTCAGTACAAAAGTCTTGTGTTCAATCCCTAGTACCACAAAAACAAAAATAGTTAATGTACACATTTAAAAGAGAAAGTATGTCTATCAGAGCACCATGCCTGCTCTTAAGGAGACATCTTCTCTTTCATCTATTTTTAATTCATAAGTAATTTTTATTAAATATTTGCTGTGTGGGAAGCCTTTGGGAGAAAGGGATCTGACAGTGAATAGAGAACTGTTGGTAGACCACTCACAAGAAAAAGAGGGGTGCACACAGAATGCTAAGAGAACAATGAGGAAGTGCTTACCAACCAATGAAGAGCCTTAAAAGGCAAAATCTAACATGCAGTCCAAGTGAAAAGGAGACTAAGGAGATCCTGGATGAGAAATCTATTGAGTGCAAAGAGGGCCAGTAGCTGAGTGGGACACTTCTCAAGCCTAGACTTTGTCCTGCTGATAATCAGCTTAGAATTTTAGACAGATCTGGCTTTTAAAGTCACAAACATAGAGACAACACAAGAATCCAAAGCTATCATTATAAGTTAAATATGAAGTACCCCCACTTCATAATTTACAGCAGTGTTCTGAGGTAGAGCCTAAGGAGATATGTAGATTATGAAAACAAAAGCTGCATTGATGGGTTAAACCATTGATGAGCCCTAGATGACCGAACTGTGAAAAGCGGGGGCTTAGTTGGAGACAGTAAGGCACAGGGGCCTCTTTCTGCACCCCGCTCCTCTCTCTCTTGCTCTTCCTCAGTGTCTCTGCTTCCTGGATACTCTGAGATGAGCAGCCATCCTCTGCCAGGCCCTTCTATCATGCTGTTTCTGCCTTGGACCAGCTGACCATGGACTGAGCCTTCTAAAACCATGAGCCAAAATAAACCTTCTCTCCACTAAGTTGTGCACACGAGGTGTTTTGTCCCAGCCACGGAAAGCTTATTAATACAGCCATAAACTGCAGATCAATCAGAAAGGAGACAGACAACATGGCACTGTAGACCTCTTTTTTCAGGAAGTTTGGATGAAAGTAAAGACAGGTTGAAGTGGAGGAGAGTCAAGGCAGTGCCTTTGTTGGTATTATATTGAAGTACATTTGAACATGTCTGTAGATATACAAGGAAACAACCAGTAGAGAAAGAAAGGGAAGCAAGATCCTAGAGTAAGATGAGAGTTCATTCCTGGCTCAGGGAATGCAGAAATATTAGAGAGAATGATGTGAAGAGACAGGAAACAGTGATCATAGAATTAGAGGACTGAAACAGTGGAGTGTTTTGCAGCCAGAAGCTAGAGACACAACAGTAAGGAAGAGAAAAGGTGAAGGCAGCATGATATTAGAAAAATTACCCTTTGGGATATAATGTTGGTTTTGTAAAAAACATATTATTAGAGTAATATTGATCCAGGAAATAAATCTTCTAGGAAAGAAGAAATGAAAGTTAAGGAAATGAAGGAACAGCGTCTCTTTTGAGACTGGAGAAAAATAACATAAAAATGCTCATGAATGTGGTGGAATGGGGAAAGTGCAAGAGTGAGGTCAGAATGGGAATGACTCGGGGTAATCAACTCTCATTTAAAAAGTCAACCCCTCTAGTCAGGGTAGCACTCCCCTCTGCTACCTCAGTGCTCTCATCAGAGGAAATATCCCAAGCCAAGCGCAGCAAGATGTTCCTCCACTCCCGTAAGCCCGGCCTCCTTTCCCTGCCCAGGACCCCTCAGACCACATATCCTTCCAAGCATGCCCTTTAACCAAGTTTGAATCCATGCTGAGGCAGAACCCAGACTCTGAGTCATTCCTGACCCCCAACAGCTTCCCACATTCTCAGTTTGCTCCCGTCTCACACCCTGCTGCAACTCTCAAAAGCCACTTCACTGTACCTTCTCTGAAACTTAGTCATCCACCATAAAATCTTTCATGTCATTAATGTCTTCTCTAAATCATTCTTCCCACTTTTTAATTCTAACAAAAACACATTTTCTCTGAAGGCCTCTGTTTCTCAAGAAGTTCTCACAGTGGAGGCAAGTTTCCTGCCTATTAGAATGGATATAGGGCAGGTGTCACCCTTGTTCCTGTTTGCTATTTCCAGAATATTCTTGCTACTTCCAGAATATTCTTGCTACTTCCAGAATATTCTTATTTTTCCCCCTACATATCTGAAGCTGCCATGTCCTGTCATCTGCCTGTACCATCCTTCTACCTCCGGGTGTAGTCATCTGCCCGTCCTCATACTGACCCCTTCTTTTCTTGAAGATTTTGTTCTTAGATCAGTATTACTCTCTCTAATACTATGTTTTTACAACACCAAATATTAGATTTCAGATTACTTTTCTAATATTGTTTTGCCTTGCTTACTCTCATATCTCTAGCCTAGCTCATGAGCTGCAAAATCCTCCGTAATTTCAGTTCTTTAATTCTCTTCCCTAAAATCACACCATACTTCCATAGCCCCTTTCATTTCTACTGGCCTACAAAACTCTTTCCCTTTCTTCAAACACCTGAAGTCTTCTTCCCCATTCTTACCCCGAACTGATGACATCGTTTCTCATTTCACTTATATTATTGAAACAATCAGAAAAGATGCTTAACGGTACCCAAAGTTACACCTACTAATCACCTGAATCTACTGCTTTCAATGGTCCCTAATACTGTGCTATGCCTGAGGCCAACCCTCAGTTGAATGCATGTTCTTCACTTAAATCTGTATACTCAACAGGGCCTTATTAAAGACCTGCTAAATGCTAAGCACTCTTTTTTTTTTAATTTTATTTAAAAGGAAAAAGAGAAAAACACAGAACAATAGCTGACCATAATAATGTTTTTGGTTGGATCATTGAACACAACTGTTTGCAGTCTCACTGTTTGAATGTCCACTTTGTATTCTTTGATACTGTGATTTAAGCACTCTTCCAGAGACAGGTGATAAAATGGTGAACACAAATTCCTACGCTCATGGAATTTACATTCTAGTGGAAAGAAACAGGCAGAAACAAATAAGCAAAACATGTAGTATTTTCATAAATGCTATGAAGACTTGATGTAAGGATATTGCAACAATTGATAGGAGGTAAAATGATGGGTTAAACTTGGATTGTTGCATTGGTAAAACCTGCTAAAAATAGAGAAAATAGAATTGGAGGGGAAATATCAGAGACAGTCTAGAGACAAGATGAATTAAAATTTTTTACCTGCATAACTGCAATAAATGGCTACTCACTGAAATGGAGAAAATATCATTTGACATTGGTTTGAGAAAAAAGATTGAGGTCAAATCCGTAATGCTCAATGTGCCTCTAAGTGGAAATGTGAGCAGGAGGTGGGATTAGGAGGGAAGTCTGCACTAAGATTGTCAGGGTTGTTATCCACAGATGGTATTTAAAATCACAGGATTAGATGAGATCACCATGGGGGTACACACAAATAGGGAAATGAGGTCCGTGTTTGCCCTCCGCAGACTCTAACAGCATGTACACACCAGCTGAGGAAGAACCAGAAAGGCAATGTGGAGTCTGAAGGAAGAGGAAGAGCCCACCACATCACAGATAGCAGAGAGGAGAAGCCCTGTCCAGACTAAAGGCCTGGCAGACTCCCAAGGACCCAAACAAGTGAAAGTCCTCGAATATGTAGGGGCGAAGGTTACCTGGCTGTCTGAAGTCTCTGAGCAGCCTACCCCAGCCACAAAGTAAATAAACATAGCACTTATAAAAATTGATGTTCTCAGGTGGCATTTGGCTGACAAGAGGTCGTTGGCTCAGAAAATAGATATGGTACTATAGTGACTGTTTGAGAGAGCATCCTGGGGTTACAGTTTAAAATGAAGTATGGTAATTCTAGAAGATTCTAAAGTATTAGCTTTGAACTTGAGAAGACTAGTTTAGAGGAAGGGCACTGAGCTTGTAAAGGTCAAGGAACTGTTAGGCAAAAGTATACATATGGTTGTGAAAAGGAAAGCCAAACTGGGCTACATGAAGATTGGGCTTCATAAAGAAACTAAGAACATGCTGGAACCTTCTGGACTAAATGTGGAAAGTGGATCAGAAGATTCTCAGGAATAGGTTACATGGGACTCTAGTTATCGATTAGTGAAAATTTTGTGAGCATGAAATAAAACAAAAAGAACTATATATCCTTCTAGTTGTTTTCGCCCAAGTTCTAGAACGCACTAGTGAAATAATTCTGGGCCATTTATTATAAGGCATAACTTTCTGTTCACTAAAATACTGCTTTTTGATAAACAAATATACCTTATAGAAATAATGCATAATCCTTAGGGTATATAAAATGTAAAAACCCTTTTAACCCAACTTTCATTTTTTCAATATTCTTTTTTGGCTGTTAAAGATATTTGTCATTATTTTTCAATAGAGTCACATCACAACTCCCAGGTGGCAGCTTATTAGAAAATAAAAAAATTACTGCTTATTCTGTAGGAAGAAACACTATACTCCTTTTTAGACTTGAGCATCTACTACAGCAATACATACTACTAAGCCTTTCTATCTGTATTTTTTCTAGGGAGATTTTGTTGTAAGATTAAACTCATCAATATCTGGATAGAACAGATAGTGACCAGTGCAAGAAAATCACCAAACAGCATTCAAATAATCCACCTTAGAATTTCATTTGAGCAGAAAATAATGATAATCCTTAAAGTATCAAAAAGAAAGAGATAATACTGTAACTTTGTCCCAGATTCTGTAGGAAGACCCACACTTATCCTCCAACATTATGACTATAGGTATATCCAAATCAAATTTAAATCATTAATATGAAAGATTTCACTCTAAGCATAACATGGTAATGACATGCAAGTAATCAGTATAGAGTCAACTAACTTTACCTTCTAAACCAAAGCACACACAGTGACAAAAATTTGTTTTTCCAAATGCCTTGTACAACTATACAATTCAAACATGTCTTAAATCCCTAAATGTAGACCTCCATGGCTGAAACATTTTATAGCTTTAATTTTATTGAATAAAACAAGAATGAAATAGGAATAAAAACATATTTCAGTGAATAGGATATGCTTTTATCACAATCCTATCAAAGAAATTTCTGAACATAACCACATGTTAAGAATGAAGGCCATAGAATAGAAGTAAAATTATTTCCTTTTACATTATTGGCATGTTTTTCTACTGAACTATCTGTGGTCAGTTCCTCACCAGGATAGGAAAACAATTTCTTACTTTGGTCAAACCAGTATGTCATTATAGAGAGAAGAAAATCTAATAGGACTAAAAGCTTATTCACCTTTCAGGTTACTGTTGGAGAGTAGCAAAATCAGGAATAAATTCCTGTCTGCATATATAACCTCAGAAGACCAACTACAAAAACCAATTATTTGTTATTCCTTTTTAAGCTAATAGTAGAAAAACTAGCATGAGGTTCTTTCTACTGCCTTTACTAAGCGTCTTTTTATCTTACCAAAAATGGAAGATTCGCCTACAAAGAATTTTAGATGGGAAAAGATTTGAAATTATACTAATTATGTAATGCAGCAATCTAACAGAGTCTTATATTAGCCAGTTGACTGCTGAATCAATCCCTTGTTCAGGAAAGAAAATAAAATATTTGCGATTTACTGCCTAATGCATGGCCAACTTCCAATGGAGTTAAACGCTGAATTGTTATGGTGATGAGAAATCATTTTCCACACAGAGCAGAACAGATGCTTTTCATAGCATTGTACTTACTAATTGCCAATTAACACTTTCAGTTGTCAATGCCGTTTAGCCATCTTAGTTTCTCTCACAGAGAAACTATTTTAATAATAGAAATAAGAACCGAACAGATTAAGATATTTCCTGCATATGCCTTGAAATGCTCACGATCTCTGAAACTAGCATTTTCTCTCCAGAGAGCCATATAATTGGAGAAATTGTTCTCTCCAGGGCCATGCAGGCTGAATGCTCCTTTTTAGTCTGTGCACCTTCCTCTCCTGCATTTCACTCAGAGGTCCCATCCTGCCTTCCAGTGTGGCACCCGCACTCACAGATGGCCACTGGTCTCTCATGAAAAGCAGGCATTAGGAAGCCTGTGAGCGTGACCACCACCAGCGTGCCGAGGGCAGTGCTGAGCATTTCCTTTACCCAATGAGCGGTTTTGCCCTCTCTCTAACTGTAGATCGCATTTCATCTCCACACACAGCCAAACTGATCTGCACCCAGGCAGCTCTCACGCGCACCCTCCTGCAGCAGACATGGGAACACGATGCACTGCTTTTAAAAGTTATTGAAAGCATTAAGCAAAGACCTCTTTTTACCTGGGGTGTGGTCTGAACGCTCCCTGTTAGGATGCACGAGTTCATTTGGAAATAATTGTTCCCCGCAGTCACTCAGAAGCCCCTGCTCTGGAAGCATTGATTCATCACATGTGGGAGTGAACAAGCCAATGGCTGAGGTGGGAAGAGAGACTGTTACTGAAACAACACACACACACACACACACACACACACACGCACGCACGCACGCACGCACACACTCACACACACATTCTCACAAGGAAAAAAAAGCAAGTTTAAAAAGAGGTAAAGCAGAATCCTCCCCGAAGCAAGGGATGTTGTCAGCTCCAAAGAGTAGATTTATTTTTGAGCAATTTTCATGTTGGGAGCTCTATGAGAGGTCACACAGACTACTAAAATGGGATCGAAGAAAAAACTGCCATCTAGATGTGTTTATGCTCTTTTCTTTTCACTCATCTATTCCAATTACATATTCTATGAAAGGAAGAGAAAAGTCAGATTGTGCAGCAATGAGAAACTGATTGCAAAGGGGCCCGGCACCTGCTAACCTCAGTGACCAGGTGGCCACACTCACAGGAAGCATTCAGAGGCACAAATGCATGCACACACTGTGTCTAAATAAAGACCTAGAAAACACACAGTGTCACTGCAAAAAATCAATAGCTTCAATTATCAATCCTAGGAGTACAATTTGCAAGCAATGATGTAGGAGGCTCTATAGCAACTGATGCTTTGCTGGTAACAGAATTAACTCTAAAATAAAGCTTGGAGTCAAAGAGTTCTCAGAACAAAATTCCATACCAAGATTCCTGGAAGACAGTGAGAGCCCTAACTGCAGATAAACAAGTCTCAAAATTTCATATGTGAAACATTACAGTCATCATCTTTCAGTATTTCTATTTTCTAGTATTGATGTTTCTCCAAATCAATACTAGGATCTAAATAGTGTTTGTGTTTTATCAGTGAAATGTGGGGTGTTGAAAGGGCTGGGCCAGTGGCGGCGAACCTATGGCACACAAGTGCTCTCTGTTGGCACGTGAGTCATTGTGAGCTAAAACCTCAGTATGCAGATTTAAGTGTAGTGTTGGCACTTTGTGATAAGTGGGCTTTGGGTTGCAGTCTGGGCACCCAGTTTCACCAGCGATGGCTAAGACTGTAGGGAGGAGTGGAAGTTTTGTTGTAGAAAGACCTAGATTATTTCTCTTCACATTTCATTATTACCAAAAGCCTGAGTGTCTGGAAACATCACAAGTAAAGGCATTGTTAAATGGGAGAACATGGCGGATAGATAACAGCAGCTACAGAGGCTCTCTGAGATAGCCAGCTTAGAATCCAGGAATGGTGCGGTGTGAGGAGTCCTAAGCAAGGGGAGACATACCCTGCTGACCCAGGAACAAACTAAGCTGAGAGAAACCAACTGGAAATGCAATCGCAGCGCTTAACCGGAACAGATAAAATCTCAGTGCGGAAGCTGGAACCCGTGCCTCTGGAAGCCATGATTTGAATTTCCTGCTGCCGCTACTGCGTCTGAATCAGAACAGCAGGGAGACACGCGAAAGCTCTGAGAGTGGGAATCGGCGAACGAAGCTGAGAGCGGGACGGGTGGGGAGCCCTGCATCGACCTGTGATGAGTGAGAGGAACAGGGACCCTTCCATAGACTAGGAGGCTACAACAGAGGACATCCTTGGACCGGGCAGACTAGCCAGAACAGGGTGCTACAGTGACTCTAGTCACATATTCCCCTCTCAAGTGGGATTGGTGGAGAGCACTTGGCCTGGGTGATGCCACTGACTAAGACCCAGTAGGCTAACCCAAACCAGGTCCCAGCACCTGGCGGTGCACCCTGGTAGTGAAGCCTTCAATAGGTTGACCTGGAGAGGCGGGCCCAGCAGAGGCTGCCTAGGTCTGTGTCTCCCTAGTACACTGCAGTGGGTGGGAACACCTAGCCAGCGGATTCAAACAAACTGTAACTGACAAAGAAAAAAACTGGGCCTCCTATATACACTTGTATGGAAGGAACAAAAGTATGGGAAGAGGGAACAACAAGAAACGGTCTTCAGTCCCCAATCCTGAGAACACTGATCCAGGAAAGGTAAATGCAAAGGAGAATGAGGACAGAAAACATGCAATATCAGGCACGGCACCAATAGACATAAAGCGATATCTCCGGAGTCTCATAGACGAGTTCAAAAGTGAAGTATTTAATGAAATAAAGCAAGACATAAGTAGAATAGTTAGAGAAATGCTAAGCACTGCCCAAGAAAAAATAGATAGTGGAATGGAAGAACAGAAAAAAAGGGGAGAATTGTTTGATGGAGAAAATAGAGAAAACATAGAATTTGTGAAGCAGGTTCAAAGAGATTTCCAGGAAACTAAAAACTCTATTGAAAGCTGGCATAACACCTTGAAAGAAACTAAGGATAGATTATCTGAACTGGACGGCAGATTTGTAATGTGGGAGCATGAAATGAAAAACTTCTTAAAAATAAGAAAACAAACAGCAATAATACAAAGGCTTGAGGATGATAAGAGGATCTATAACTTAAGAATTAAGAACATAAAAGAAGAAGTAGGGACACAAACAAATGAACTAAAAAAGCTATTCACAGAAATAATCCAGGAGAATTTCCTTAATTTAGCAACAGGTAAAGATACTCAGATGTATGAGGCATACAGGACCCCAGCCACCTACAACCCAAACAGAGCTACACCCAGGCATATAATAATCAAAATTCCAGAAATCCAATATAAGAACAGAATATTAAAAGCCGTCACAGACAAGAAACAGATCACTTACAAGGGAACACCCATCAGAATTACAGCAGACTTCTCGACACAAATCATCAAATCACGAAGAGCGTGGGGGGAAATAATTCAAGCTTTGAAAGATAATAACCTCCAGCCAAGATTGATATATCCTGCACAACTGTCCCTAGAAATTGATGGAAAAACATGGTGCTTCCAGGATAAAGAGGAACTAGGGGAATTTACAACCACCAATTCAACTCTACAGAGAATACTACAGGATATTCTAAAAAAGAAAAATACCAAGATTCCAGAAACAGTGGCAGAGAGACCACAATGAATGAAGCAGAAAGCAAAATGAAGAAGACAAACTGACAACTAATGACAGAAAAAGATCTCAACAAAAATGAGGCAGAGAAGGTTGGATGGTAGGAACAGCTATTTTGGAGAAAACAAGACATCATAATAGCTAGTGCTGATTTAATATCATCTTGTTTTGAAGTCCCATCAAGCTTTTGTTCTTCTGTCTCCATCACTTTTAACAGGTTGTATCTTATTGGATTTTACTATATGTGATAATATAAACAAAAACTTTTATAGACAAGGAGATTATACAGAAACCATTGTTCATTTTCTGTTAGTTGGCTCTAAAAACCCTGTAATACTGTCATTCTCTTGAATGGTTTTACATTGTTTTGATATGTTTGATGCTACAGTATACGAAGTTATACTCAAAGATTTCAGGGAAAGAGACACTAATGGTAACTACTTGTATGTCAGGATATCTGGTGGTGAAACACTATTTTGCTTAAATGGTTATGTTTTGACCTGCACTGTTTTGTTTGTTATGCCCTCTTTTATCTCAATCTCTTTTTTTAAATTATTTACTTTTTTATTCTTATCTTTAAAAAGAGATTAAGAGAAAAATAAATAAAAATAGCAGGATATATTATAGTAACCCACTTTGATTTCCTATTAACTTGATTTGAAACCCTGTATTGCTTTCGCCATCTTGTTTTGACTGATTTTTCTCTATTCTGTTTTGCTTGATAGTACCAAGTTTGAAAGTATAGGAAACAACTGCGAAGATAATAAAATTCATTATGACACCATTCTGGTTGACTATTATCTTCTTTTGAAGTCCTGTAATGTCTCCAATGTTTTGGTTTTATTCTTTACTGTTTTGTTCAATTTTATTATAACTGATGATATAGGCAAATCTTTTTAAGATAGCAGGAGGCTATATGGTAACTGTTGTTGATCACCTTGTATTTTGTTTTTACATTATGTATTATGTCCATCCTTTTGATTTGACTGGCTCTGTTCTGTTATGTCACATTTGATTTTACTCTCTTCAAAACAAGTAATAAGAACTGTGGGAGTAATAAAACCCAAAATGTGTAATCCTCATTGTACAAAAGAGAGGAAAAGAAAGTGCTCTAAAGGATATAACTGCATGTATATTTAAGTGTATAAGATAGATAACCATATTACTGAGTTTTGTTGGATCATTGAACAGGACTGTTTTCTGTCTCACTGTTTGAAAGTCCACTTTATATGCTTTAATTTTGTAACTTGAACAACTGTTTCTAAGATGACAATATGTAACCTATTAGCCAGTGATTTCCTACTATTTCTTCTGAAATTCTGTATAACTTGTACCCTTTTTCTGTTTTTTTTTTCTCCCTAAATAAAATTTAAAAAAATACAGTCTAGTTTCTGAAAAACATAGTCTTAATAATTAAGAGTTAAAACCTCATCTTTTTGATTCTGAGTGTAATATCTTGTATGTTGTACAAATCATGTTGAATGCATTTCTAGATACCAGGACTTTAGGAAACAATGATTGAGATATTTTATTCTAAAATACATACAGTTTCAATTAAAATAGATGCTTTATGCTATTGCCAAATCGATGATTTTATTTTGGGTGCAATAAAGCAATTAAGGAACATAAAAAAAGAAAATAAATATTTCCAAGTCACAAATAAAAAAAGAATTGTTAAGAATAATTCTATAATAAGTGGGAAGAGCTATTCTGAATAACAGTACATCTTGACACAGAAATGGTGTTAAGTGCTGCATTTATCACTAAATGAAGTGGCACCTTCTTCCACGGTATATGTATTTACAAAGACCCAGAAAAGAACATAATACTGTCTTCCTTACAAAGTTTACAATTTAACTGAGAATATAAAAACAGGTATGCGAGTGAAAGACCTACCAGACACATAACCAACTGGGAAATTTGCCTCCAATGCAGTCTGACTGAGGAGATCCTAGATTCTGAATTGTCAACAGACATCATGGTGGAACTCTCTGGCTTCTCTGTGATGTTAACCAGAGCAACTTCAGAGGGCAGGGAGATGACAGCCACCTGCTAGGGA